ATGTCAAAACGAAAGGGAATGGGAGAAAATTTTCGTAATTTCGTTTTGTTGACATCCTAAAGTTGCGCCGTTTCGTCCTGTAGGTACTAGTGTAGAGACAAAAATATCCATTCAGCTATTCAATCAACACCACCTTGTATTGATGCGCCTTGTTACAAACTAAAATTTAATGGGCTATAAAACTGTGTACTCGAAAAAATTCTAACACAAAACCGAAAATAGTCTGAAATTTGGATGAAAATTTGTCGCGTCTTTTTGTAGTCTTTTTAAAAGTTTCAAACTTGGTTTTATATGAGTTTTGTTAGAAAATAAACTGTATTTTATTTGAAATTTTTTGAAAATAAATAAATATAAATGGCAAACAATGAGGCGAATTCTTGATTTCGAACGAATCGAAAATTTGAAATTTTTGTGTAGAAGATGATTGGAAAAAATTCATGATGTTCGATTCGTACGAAAACCAGAATATGCCCCAATATCACTTTGAAATGCGATTGCGTCCAATAGTGTCATTATGTCCCTATTAATGCATTCCTATTTACATATATGGCTAGTAGATTAGTATTTTATCTAGGCGAGCAAAAACACTTCACATTGATAAATCCATTAAGTAACATCTGGCAGCACCGCGCGTATCGCAGTGCAGAAGACGAGCAGCCAGCGGTCGGTTTGTATTTAACAGCTCAGCAGGTTGCGAGCCGTCCGATTGCTTGCAGGTTTGCCTACCCGCCTCTGGGCTTCCCAAATTTGTCTACAACTAGCAGGTCGTCCATAATCCGATAAATAATTATGTTCTTTTCTTATACAGTATTGCAGTGAAGATCAGTGAGAATAAACCAAGTAACAGCAGTGTGTCGGAAGTCAAAAATTGCAAGAACACAATGGATTTAGGAGAATCTAATCAAGCAGTTGATGGACCACCACAAACAATAACCGCAGGACCAGTTACAAGTTCAAACGCAGAAACAATCGGGATAGCATCAAGCTCTGTAAATTTTGGGGAGTCAACAGTGGGTATAACTGCACCATTAAATAATAAAACCTTAAAACGCTGTTTGAGTGTGCCAATATTACGCGCTGGTCCTTCATCCACTTCTATGACAACTCGATCTGCAGCCGCAGCTTTGGCGATGCGCAACGGGGGACACGCAGCTAACCCCAAAGAGACGCTAGCTACACCAAAGAAGAGTCAAACATTTACTATGCGTGATACTATTGGAGATGTTTCTTCTGGTAACAATTTCAGTCATAATATGCACATTGGAATACCACGTTCAAATCCTTCCTCAAGGTATTATTTTAACAAAACTTAAGCTTTCTGAATGTCTAACATTTAGTAACACTTATAAATTATAGAGAAGTATCACCAGCTCCAATGTTTAATATATTTGCACCAAGAGCTCGTCGTTATTCGGCTAGTTATACACCGCATGGAGCAGCTGGTGCTGCAGGCAGTGCTGCTGCGGCAAGTGGTTTACCACTATGTCTCACGCCACGAGTTTCTCAATTGCGCCAAGAGGAGTGCGTAGACATGGTAAACAGTCGTGAAGCAAATCATGAACGTGAAATACACAGTGCCATGCAGATGTCACAAAGTTGGGAGGATTTGACTTTAGTTGCTGAAAATTGGTCCTGTAAATCAGAGGAGCTAAGCAATCCCTTGCAGGTCACGTTGCCCTCTGCGACAGCAAGTTGTTCAAGTCCAAGCCCAACAAGGTATTGATTATTGCAAAAAAAAAAGCAATATATAATTGGCGCTTATTCTCTTCTTACAGTAATCGCGCCGGAATGAAGCTTCCTTATGGCTTGTCTCCATCGCCAACAAGACGTACTTTCGCTACGCGTCGCTCAATGTCACCAATTGCCATGCGGCCCTCACAGTTAGGCCCTGTTAAACGTAAATTTGAGCTGGATGACAGTGGCCCTGGCAGTAATTGGAATGTATATTCCCAACCACCATTAAAGAAAATATTTACCGAGAGGTAGAGTTAAGCTATAACACAAACTTTGTGTTTCATTTCTAATTTATTATTTTTTTAGTCGGGGAACTTCGCCTGTTTGTCAGTCACCATCTTCAATATGCCCCAGTCCAGATTCTGGCACATATGATGGTCGAATAACACCAAAGCTATTCATTTCAAAGTTGTGCACCAACAATACAAATAATAATTCAGCATGTTCATCGCCGAGTAGCAGCGTAAGTGGTGGTATCATCGACTCAACTACTACCTTAGGTATATGTTCATCCGCCTCTTCAACGACTTCTTCCGTTTCTGGTGGCAGTGAGCCTATGTGCATTGGAGGTGGTAGTATTGACGAAGGCATTTCCATTGCGGATAATGATGACAAACTTACAAATAACACTGTTTCGACAACTAGTAGTGCATCCGTAGGCAATGGTGATACAAGCGGAGGTAATGGATTGCAACCAATGAGCACAGATATACAAGATGATGCTACATTATTAGATGACATGAAGAGTGAAACATCCTCGATTGGTGGATGTTCAAGTATCAGTATCGAATCGTCTTCCTGCGATAGCGCCTCTAAAGCCGCTGCTAGTTTTCTTAATAGACTGAACGTTGACGATATTAGTACAAGTCCACTTGCAGTACAGAAGAGCTTCTACATAAACAAACAGGGTTTAACAGGGCACAAAAAGTTTATCGTAAGCAGTGGGGTTGGTGAGCAAAATGATAGTATTAACGTAAACAACAGCAGCGCAAGCTCCCCTGCTCTGATTGTAAACACGGCTGATGTTGCCTCCACTTCATGCACAAGCGGATCATAAATAAAACGGTTGATATTTGATTTTTGTAATAAATTAAGTTATCTAATAATTAATCAAGAATTAATTTCTGCATATGCTGAATATGTTAATTTGCCCCTGATATTAAGCAAAAATTATGCTGGGCTACGTACCTACTACTTATAATAATTAGAATTACATACCTGGAAATTTCTTATTCGTTTAAGTTTACAAAAATATTATATTTTTCGCCATCACTTATTGTTATCAACTCATTTTTGTAGAGTTTAGTTGTCACCACATATTGATGTTATAATTATTTGCTATAATATTTGTTTGTCATGTCAATTATGGGCAGTGCGAATATTTTGGCTGCCCTTAATTCGAATTTCACATACAAATAAGTACGATATTTTAAGTCAGTCCGGCAGGTTCTGCAATTCACTTCCGACTGAATTTGAGTCAAGTTCGCTTTGAATTCAAATTGGCAAGGGTTGAACTTCACTCGGAAGTGAATTGCTGAACCTGCCCGAGTATGTTTATATGTATTTATTTACATTAGAATAATTTACGTAAAGTGAATTTTGCTTTCAAGTTAACAAGAAAAATTTTTTTTCTCTTTTTTGGTAAATATACTTTTAGAAAATATTTATTAGTTTACCTAAATTGGTAACGGACGCCGTAAAGACTAGATCGAATTATAAAATATAATTTGGCAAACAGTGTAAGCATATTGTCAAGTGGCATTTGCTGGTTTAAAATAAAATTATTTCGTTTCATTTAAGCTATTTAATTAATAAAAGAGATGTCGTTTTTAAAAGCCTATATACATAAAATAATCAAATAATACTTTGGCGAACGGTCGATTAGATATTAGTATTGTAAAGAAAAAGGCATGTTTCCACATGTTTAAGCATTAATAATGTAATTAAAATTTGCCAAACATACAGATGTATGTAATTCTGTTCGAAAACTTTAAACTTCGATTTATACTTACATGCATTATTAAATAAAATAACTTTAGAAATAGTTTGAATAAATCTTGTCCATTGTTGGAGAGATTCTAACATCTGAAAAGAGCTTTCAAGAGAGCACGTTTAAAATATCAGTTTAGTTGCAACATGTATGTATGTAACTTTTTGAACCAATAAAATGTATACAATTTAAAAATAATGCAAATATATACATATGCGTGTATGTGTACTTTGTTTTTATTATTTTTAAACAGGAAGGGTGAACATATAAAATTGCATATAAATAAATTTAAGATATACATATATCTTAAAACTTAAAAATATTTAAGACCAAAAAGGTAAAAAACGTTTAGAATCACAAAATGTTTTGCAAACAGCATTTATACTACAAAAAAGCGTAAGAGTTCGAGACATTTTAAGGAGGAAATTTTACAGTAGCATATAGATCAGGTTAAGGAACATGGGTGTGCCGAACTATAGCTTTCGATAATACATACATATAATATACAATTTATAATAAGCATTTTTTAAATACATTGAATTTTAGGATGTTACAAGCAACAAGAATATATTTAGTTTTAGCTCGTCCTTGATCCAATGTCGCATATTGCACTAAAGTGTAAAATGCATACGCTTTTAAAAATATGCTTCTAGTACGACAACATGTTTGGTTTTAGCAATTTTAGCTTTTGGAACAATTGACACACAAATTCTAGAGCTTGTTCTCTAACAATTGGTGTCGAATTAAGTTATGCTGAAGAGAAATGCGTTGTTTCTGCAAAAAGTATTCAAAAATATTATGCTTTAATACTAAAAATAGTCGTACAGCAATTGTTTTAATATCATTTTTAACATCTACTTATCTAATCTCATAATACTTTGAATGTGTTTTTCTTTTAATTTTACTGGAAATATTTTATTTACTTAATGTATGTATACATATATAAATATGAAGTTAAATACATATGTAGTTCATATGTATACATTTAAATGGAATGTCACTGGGAAACATTTTGCAAAAGGAAGATCGAATAATATTATTATATGAACTTGTTTAAAGTGTTAATTACAACAAAACAGGAATGCTTAAGTACTTCTTACTACGTTCATTTTGTTTAATCTTACTATAAAAATATCTGGAATGATAGTACATTTATTTCAGATGGTATACGAAGTTCTGACGAATATGTACGTATGTATGTCGGTATATAAGTATGTATGTATGAATTTATGTATTATTTGAGCTTCTACTATGTTTTGTGATTAGCGTCTTTTTCTTATCCGACAAATTGAGGTTTACTATATTTGTAAGCCCGCTGTCGAATATCAGATGCGTTATGAGCTTCATCATATCAGAACTGCACCGGAGGTGTACTTTTTGAAGAAATATTTTTTTCTACCTTTTGATATACAAATTCCTCCACAGTCTTGCTGTGATGTATCAAAAATTGCATTGGCCGGCATTATTCTAGACGATTCGCTTAGTAGGTTACTTTTGGAAGAGTAAGTATTTCTAATTGAAACAAGTTGCTCGTTGTAATGCAGTCTCGCGCAGTTCCTCCTTACAAGCACTCACGTGCTCCACTAATTCGTCGCGTAGTTCGAAAGTTTTCTTGCAAATATAGCACTCATAGAGATACACAGATGGATCATGTTCTTTCAAATGCTTGGTGTACGACTCGATTTCTGTGAAACGTTGTTTACACTCGCAGCACTCGAGCCAATCTTCCGTGGAAGAATCTTCTTCGTTTGAATCATAGCTACTATCGTAGCGCGTTTTTGCCCGCTTTTGGGGACTGGATGTGCTGCTGGACGAACTTAGTTGTTGCTGGTCAAAATTAGCATCGTCATCATCTTCATCATCATCATTCTCGTTTGCGTGAGCTGTCTTGTGTTCACTGTACTCTAAGTAGTCCCTATATTTTCTCGGACAATGGAGACATTTATAATACCGATCTCGTTGATGTGTCACCATGTGCTTCTTCAGCGTTGAGTATTCTCTGAACGGTTTGCGACATTTATTACAAGAAAATGGCTTTTCGCCGGTGTGTATCATAAAGTGGCGTTTCAGATTGTGACGCGTACCGAAAGGACGCTGACACAACGGACAAGAAAACTCCTTACGTGTTACAATGCCTTGTTCATTGTAGTTATGCCGATGAACAACTGGAATGTTATCAAGTAGTAACTGCGTGCTGGTGGTTACTGTCTTTTGAACTGTAATCGGCGCATTTATAGGCACCAACGACGGCATTTCCGAATTGAGCAAAGTTGTCGAGCTAGGTCGTTTGGGAGATGAGGAATTGGTGGTTGGTTCTTGTACAGATTTCGACGATCCTTTTATATTGCTATTACTATTTGTTGCAGTAGAACTTACAATGGATACCGCACTAGTTGCTGGAACATCCCATACCCGACCACTAGATACTAGAGGCTTTGCGGTAAGTTGTGGCAATGGTAATGGCGGCGACGTAGATAATGGTGATGTTTGAAGTTTGTCTGGTGAGGCAGAAGGCGACGCGGAAAGCTGTGGACGCATTGCTGCTGTTATAGCGCTTGTCTTCGAATCGCAATCATTGCAACGCGTTGGATCTTGCATCGTTGGTGGTTTGACACGACACACCATGCATACGAAGTTCGGTTCATTTGCGTGTCGTCGGCGATGTTTTTTGAGGTCACTGTACTCTCGAAACCGACGATCGCACATATCGCAGCCAAATGGACGTTCACCTATAAATATAGTAAGTTCAGATAAATAATTTTTTTTACGATATTAGTTATATATACTCGAATAACTAAAACTATTAAGCTTTCTTAAAGGTAAGATAAAAACTTGGCCTTGGATGGCTACTCGGCAGTATCTAAATGTGGCTAATGTCATTAGATCGTATCTCCTCATAAATCAAATGTTTCAATTAATAAGAATCTACTTACCCGTATGTATCATCATGTGTCTTCGTAAATTGTAACTTGACTGAACTTTTTTGCCACACAAATAGCATTCGAAAAATTGTCGGCATTTTTCGCGTCTATCTAAATCATCCCAATGCCTCTCTACTCCTTTTTCATGTTGATCTATAAATTCCGCATTTTCATCATCTGAATGGATAACAACAACATCGCCGCTGGAAATATCCGCTTCTGCACTAAAAACTTCATTCGAATTTGTAACGTAGTTATCATCATCGTCGCATTTCAGCTCACAACTCACAGCTGCAGCGGCAAACGGCAATTCATCATCCTCTGTGTCACTTTCAAAGGCATCTGCATCTACTTTGTTGTCAGTGGTGGCAATATTTCCAGGGGATTTACCACAGTGATCGGCTTCAGAATCACTGCTATCAGATAGTTCGATATGTGCAATTATACGTTCCTTAGACGACTCTTTTTTCTTTTGCTGTAACACTACCTCGGCTTTTTGGTTAGCCGGTGGGCTTTTTGGAATGAGGCTAATGCTGGGGGAATTGATTCTGTGTTTACCTGCTTCCTTGCCTGGAACGGCCGAATCTACTTTAGCTTTTTGTGCATCCCGTTTAATTGCAGCATTTTCCACTTTATCCCTTATTTGCCGCAATTCTTCACGATCATCTTCATCATCCAAATCAATAATCTCAAAAAATACCTCCTCTTCTTTTGCATTGCCCACCGATTTGTTCTTACATGTGTTGCTTCTCTTCTTTTCTAAAGCACTTTCACGACCAATTTTCAATAGCAAACCTTTGATTTTGGAATCTTCTATAGAAATAAAATTCTCTTCTGGCTCCTGGTATTCGTAGTGCGTATTAATATCTGCAGCTGGTATAATTTCAAACTCCGAAATTATTGGGTAAGCCAGAGGTGGAGGATGTACAGATGGAGCCTGTTGTAAAGGCGGAGGCTGTGATAATGTAGCCGTAGCCGTTGGGTGAGATAGAGCTGGCGATGTACCATATGCCGATAAGGTACATGGACCACTACAGCAGGCATTTGATTCAAATAAGTTACTCCTGGCGATGTTTGTACAGCAACTCTGTGGTCGTTGCATTGCGACCTCGTATGTAATACCGCGCCTTCCTTGTTGGTCCCACTGTACATCAAATAGTTCAATTTCCTGTTGAGTAGAAGCGACATTGCAGCACTCCAGGGGCTTCGAGTAGTTCATGCAAGGTCTTGTTGCTGGCATGCGAGGCACTGTATGCAGCGATATCGGCACCGATGTGGAGTTATAGTTCACATTTGTTTGCGAAGGCAAGCGAACAAGTGAAGGTGATGCTGTTTGAGGCGGCACTGGCAAAGCAGCATGTTGTTGTGTTAATTGATGATGATGGTCAACGACTTTCAGTGTGGAAAGTGTGCTGTTGCTGTTACCGTGCGTCGACCCAGAAGGTGAACATTTTAACTTCATGAGGATTTCCATTTTGAATATTTATGTTGTTATTTTCCCGATCTACAATTTAAGGAATACTTTCGAAAACTCATCAATTGCAAAAACTTAGGTATTTAGATTATGGATATGTTATTAAAAAATAAAGGAAATTAGTTATTAGGAAACTTTGGAAATATGTCATTTAAAAATAGTTACTTCATATGTGTACATACATATTTATTTATACGTACCAATCAATTTGTTGGTCTTATACAAGAAATTTATAAAAGGTCGCGCTGTAGCTTAAACCAGAAAACGAGGAAAGTTTACCACAACCGCAACATTTTTTTAAATTTAGCCGTGTGCTTTTCTACTTTTGTCTCGACTCGTCGTTCTCGTCTTTTTCAGCACCAGAAGCATACGTATGTATGTACGTTGTATTATTATAGGTATTGATGTTGCTCGTAGTCAATTGCCACTTCTGCGGCTTATGTATGTAGTTTCGAACTCGAGGCTGAATCACCCAAGCAGCACGAAGACAGGCAGTCGGGCAAGCAGCCAGTCCATCTACCAAGTCTTAACCACTCACGTATTTTTCAATGTAGTTTTTATATTCGTTGATTCGTTATTTGAAGCCGCAACGCTTTTACCTGTGCCTGCCGTATAAAGTACTGCCGACAATATAGCCATTGCCATTGCGTGTTAACTTGATTTTTCTTCGGGCGGCAAGTCGCGAAGGCAAATCAAAAAAGAAAACCATAAGCAAGATGAATAAAAAAGCAAAAACAATGAACTCACGACTCACGGCACAATAATTTTCTTGCCGCGCAGTTGGCCTGGAACAGACAACCACTGACGCAAAAATCCGCAAACTCGAGCCCGCTCTGCCAAGACAAAAACCGAGCAGCGAACAACGAACAAGCCAGTGCGAGCAATGCTCGATCTTTCTGTACCCCTTACCGCTTTGCACCGGTGCTCCTGCTGGTTCGAATGGCGCCGCTAATAGTGCACCACCTTCACTCTTCTCTTTGCTCCAAAATCAAATCCAGTTTATCTTTTAATTGAAATCTTACTTGTCGACTATTTCCGCAGCTCTTTTGCCTTGCAAATATCCTACAATTTTACATTTCTTTTTTTCTTTAATGGAAAAGTTGAATTCGCCATTAGTTGTTTAAACTTTTTGTTGAAATTTTTAAATAAATGAATTGATTTGTTTATATTTACATTTTTATTTGCACAACTTTTATTTCACACAAACAACTCAACTCCAATTGGAAATTTTATTTCCTTTTCTTATACGCTCTGGAAGGAAACTGAGAATTTTCTACGATAAATACGTGTTTCCATGGTACGTTGTGGGTATTGGAGATTACAGGATGTTACAAGCGATAATTTCCGAAACTTATAAAATTTAAAAATTTAGTTTTAGTATGCTTAAAACATGAAAAAATGTTATTATATTTAAAAATATTTAAATTTTTGGGAAAATTTTAGAATGGTAACCCCCGATTACGGAATTAAGGAAAAGAGGGGGGGGTAGAGGGGGTTCTAAAGGGGNGGCCGCACTTAGGGATTATAACCCTCACTACGTAGAATTCTCCTTTCTGTGTTGCCGGAAGAGGGGAATATGACCTGAAGCCCCCTACTATTTATTTTTATCTGAACAAAAGAACCTTATCGTATTTTCCTTTTAATCGTATTTTCTTTTGGTCTTGCTTTCCACTCTTGGTTTTTTAGATATGGCAACACAGTCCTGCTGCCATTTGCACATATTCTGCAAGTACTTTAAACAACAATCAATTTTTTATAAAAAAGCTCTAATATACTAAAAGTATTTATTTGTTTGAACGTGCACACTCTAGCTGCGCATATATTGAGTGTCAATAACGTGTAAATTTAGTGGAAAGTGCATTATATATTGTGAAATAGTCCCATACAAGTTGGTGAAAATTACAAACTTTAATAACAAATTACTTAAAAACTATAAGGTTGCGCGCTTTGAAACTTCATACAGGGAACTATTAGACCCCCATCTACCTCCCATATTTTCCTTAATGCTGAACTCCGGGTTAGCAATCTAAAGCCCACCCAAATTTTTTAAGTTCATGTTATCAATAAGTTTTCACAATAATAAAAGAGTTTAGATAATCGAACCAATTCAACCACCAATTTTTTGCATTAACACCCTGCCTTAGACCTTCACATATTTCATCAAAGTCGATCGATTTATTTTCAACCATTTTCGACTTGGTAATCATTTCAGAAAGAATATCAAAGGACAGTGAAAAATACTGGTAATAAATAATTTTAAGTTTTGCATTCATTTTAATATTGCATATGCTTATATAAAATATAAAGAACGCTTTATTTTTTGATGGTACATATGTACAATTCTTCACAGCGTATAGTGTTCATTGATATTGATTTTTTGATCTTTGTGTATTGGCTAGGTAACATCCGCTGCAAACACTTGTCTACTTCGCAAAGACTTTCTTATAGCTATCTAAAATGAGTGCACGACTACGGCGTCCTGGTACGGCAAACAGCCAAATACCTAATGAGTGCGTCCAAGTGGTGGTGCGTTGCCGTCCCATCAGCAATCGAGAACAAACAGAGGGGTCTGAGGAAGTCGTCGCTGTGTATCCAAATCGTGGAGTAGTAGAGATTATGAATTTGACTGAAGCCAATAAGGAGCAAACAAAAATGTTCACCTATGATGCTGCTTATGATGCTAGTGCATCACAAATCAACCTCTATAACGAGGTTGTATTTCCGTTGGTGAGCTCAGTTCTTGAAGGTTTTAATGGCTGTATATTCGCTTATGGCCAAACTGGCACTGGTAAAACATTTACTATGGAAGGCGTGAGAGGTCACGATGAACTTAAGGGAATCATTCCCAGAACATTCGAACAGATTTGGCTTCATATAAATCGTACCGAAAACTTTCAATTTCTTGTCGACGTTAGCTATTTGGAAATATATATGGAAGAACTGCGTGATTTATTAAAGCCAAACTCAAAACATTTAGAAGTACGGGAGCGTGGTTCGGGCGTTTATGTGCCCAATCTGCATGCCGTTAATTGTAAAAGTGTTGACGATATGCTAAATGTTATGCATATTGGCAACAAGAATCGTACTGTGGGCTTTACCAAAATGAATGAACACAGTTCACGTTCGCATGCCATTTTCATGATTCGCATTGAAATGTGTGACATTGAGACAAACACTATTAAAGTGGGAAAACTTAATTTGATAGATTTGGCAGGAAGCGAACGTCAGTCCAAAACCGGTGCTTCAGCTGAACGGTTGAAGGAGGCAAGCAAAATAAATCTTGCCCTATCCTCACTTGGAAATGTAATCTCTGCATTGGCAGAAAATTCGCCACATGTGCCCTATCGTGATTCAAAACTTACTCGCCTACTGCAGGATTCTTTGGGTGGCAATTCAAAGACTATAATGATAGCCAATATTGGTCCATCATCATATAATTACAACGAAACGTTGACCACTTTGCGTTACGCATCCCGTGCAAAGACTATTCAAAACAAACCTGTTAAAAATGAAGATCCACAGGATGCTAAGCTTAAGGAATATCAGGAGGAAATCGAGAGATTGAAACTCCTTATTGCACCAAAGCAACAGCAACGTACTGAAAAAACAGGGAAGAAACGTCAACGAAAACCAAAGAAAGAAAAGGCTAATAACGAAGTTGTGCAGATGGAAGTGGAAGAAAGTGAAGACGAGCCGGAGTCGGATAAAGAGAATGAAGCAGAAGCAGCCAAGTCAAACGAAGAACTGGAGCGTGAACGTGTTGAGACAGCGAAACTCGCTACAAAGTTGGCAGAATTAGAATCGCAGCTGGTGCGCGGAGGTAAAAATTTGTTGGACACATACAGCGAGCGTCAGCTAGAACTCGAGAAAAAGCTGGTTGAGATAGCTGAACGCAAAAAGCGTGAAATTGAAATTCAACAGCAACTGGAATTGCAAGAGGAAACTACTCTGGAAATACGAGAGACTGTTACATCTCTAGAGCAAGAAGTTGATTTGAAGAAAAGAAAATTGTCAAAATGCTATGCAAAGTACTTGGCTTTACAGCAGGAATTGAACGACTGCAAATACGACCACAACCAGGATCTACGTGAATTAGAGATGGCACAGAATGAACTTGTCAAGGAATTGAAGCGGCAATTATTAATTATTGATAATTTTGTACCAGTGGAAGTTAAGCAACGTCTTTATACTCAGGCGAAGTACGATGAAGAACAAGAAGAGTGGAAATTCTCCGCAACTCCATTGGTTGGCGAACATAACTTTTTAACAAAACGTCCTGTCTCTCACCCGCAACGTCGTCGTCCCATTTCCGAGTATGCATTAATGGAGGCTAAAACAAACACACCTTCAGCATTGCGTTTCAAGAACGAAAATATAGTATCGTACGAGCTCGAAATGCCATGTCGCACTACGCAGGAATCCCGTTCACCTAAAGTTTCTGCCTCGCTTCAAGCCGTATTAGCTCAAGCTATGCAAACTGGGGATGACATTGATATCGTAGATTCCCACACCAATTCAATACGTAGTCGTCTTGAGAACATTATTAACGCTAGCGCAAACGCATCGGCGGCGTTGGCTTCAACTAATAGCAGTCCTACAACACCCAACGGGGTTACAGCAATTCCCACTACTGCAGCACGCAATATTAAGCCAAGTCGTGGCACAGGTTCTCCTGGCTCGGCGATTGATTCGAATAGACGTCCGCCTACTGGTCGTGTAGTGTCCAAAAAACCGGCCTCAGCTTATCCAAAAGCTCGTGGATTAGTGAATAAGTAGACAAACTACATGATGAAAGTATCGTTGTTATCGCAACCTTAAATTGTAATGGTCTATTAATTCAAAGTACTTTGTTGATATGCTGCATTACCAACTGTAAATGTTAAGATGAACGGCTCTAGTCCACCCAGGCTGAACAATGCAACAAAGCAAGCAACAAGGATTTAGAAAATATACTAGATGCACTCCGGTTTATTAATTTAAGGCTTGAAAAAAATGATGGCCGCCTGGTAAAAATATGTTAAACGCATTTACTTTGATGGTATTAATTAGTTCATAAATTGTTGTTTTTCTTTTTTAAGCGAATACTTCTAATTTGGATGCCGAGTTTTTTTATTTATTTCGTACATTTTGTTGATTCTACTATTGTTTAAGAATGCTTTTTTTTTTATTGTGCAATTTAGTAATAAGGATCGTAACATTTTACATATATTCAATACGCTTTTCAATAAAAACAAACTACGCACCCCATTCAAGTGAGTATTTTGTTGTTTTAAAAGACCTTATATTACGATAACAATGCAAATGTTACAGTTTTTACTTGTCCAAGTTATTTATACCTGAGCTTCCCACTATATCCAATAACGCCTTCAGCTTATTTTCAAATAATTCACAGCGTATGGGCATTTCCAAAGCATAAAACGGATTTTTCAGAACATAATCTGAATATAACTCGTAAATTTTGTGAAGTAAAATATCCATGCCAGTTTCACCAGTTTCCGATATTATAATAAACTTAACTCCTGTTAGCGTTTGGAAGCAATGCAAGGTAAATGTATCGGCTTCCAATATTTCAATACCAGAACTTTTAGGTTCCGGACTGAGTTGACTAGCAAAAGCGTATAGGGGATAGAACGTACTTGCTTGTACAATTTTTTCATTGGTAGTCAATTTATGCCTGCAAAATTTTAAATTCATCGGATAGTTCTCTGCGTTGTCCAGCACAGTTTTGACGTCACGTCCATCCTCGAGTGTATTCCCATTTACCGGCATTCCATTTACAGCTATTAAAACGTGCCCCACTAAGATTTTTTTTGATAGAAAATACATGTTTATTCAACCGATATAAAAGTCTATAGTTAAACTGACCATTGATTCCATCCTTTCGGTTGAAGACCACCGACACCTTCTTGGGATCATAGTCGAGTATTAAATCAAGAGGATATGTAAACGAACGTTCCTGCTCTATGCGAGGAACGTTGCTATCCAGATTATAAATGAGTCCACCTGATTTACTTACTATATACACCCCATAAATTATCATTTCTATTACTTTTTATTTACAAATTTTCAATACTGCTCTTCTTCTTAAGCCGAATCACAATGTAATCCAATAAAAGACCCTGCAAGAAATTATTGGAAAAACTGCGGCAGTCAGCAGTGTTGCCTTATAAACTTTTCAGTCACTAAAAAGGCCTTGACGAAAAATGGTCACCATATCATTTTTGCTTTTCTTTCCTAGTTATTCTTTTTCTAAGAACTAAAGTCAAAATCAAATGTACATGTATTATAGTATTTTCACTGATAGATCGTTCCGTTGTTGAATTTAGTGGGACAAGCTTTGCCAATACAGGGTTGCAAACATACATGTAAATTGAGTAGAGTTGCATTTCCCTTAAAAGTTTTAAGTCCTTTTTTGTACTTATGCCCTGTATGCAGCTCCCAAGAAAACGGTCAAGAAAAAATTGTCATTATTTCGTGTGTGTGTGTCCAAGGAATTTTGACCCGTCAGAGCCTGTTGCCTCACTCTTTCCTCAAGAAATAATGGAACGGGCATATATTTCAGTTGCAAACCTGGATTGCCTTGTGCTCTTTTTTCACAAAAAACTTTAGAAAACTGTAGTAGAAAGCGTAGCAAATTTCTTAAGAACTGCGTACTGCCTTAAGAAAATTTGACTCAAGAAAATTTCTTAGCCATTTCTTGTACGTCATTTAAAACGAACCAGAACATTTTACAAATTTAACTTAACGTAAGAGTTCGATAATAGTTTAGAGCAGGCATACACGCAAAAAACTTGCACGTGAACTGAATTTGTAAAACGAAAGAAAAGACGAATTGGGCCTTATGCATAAAACTTAAAAACAAAAGTTGTTTCTGAAATTTTCAGACCGTTTATTCAATTTGTTCAAATAAATTTAAGTAAAAGGAATGAAATTTTAAGAAAAAGGAATTGCTAACAGCCAATTTAAGGAAAGCAATTTAAGTAAAATATGATTTTATTTTTTTGAATTTGATTAGGATATTTACAGAAAACGCATTTTATGTAAAATTCGTAGTCCTAAAACAAAAATACTTACATAAGGTAATCCGCACATTCACTCCTAATCATAGTTACGTAGTTATCGTTTCGTTACGCCGAAACGAATTCATGACGACTCGACTTCTGCACACTTGAGCGCCCTGCATTAGGCTGGAGCTCCATAGGTAAGCGTATGCCTGTTTTTGCGAGATCCGTTGTGTGTGCTTACAAACGTTTGAAGTTGTCATTTCGACAAATTGGTGCAGCTGACATACTCATTTTTATACGTATTTATAAATAAAATACTTACCAAATTATGTACCAAAATAATATTAAAAAGGCAATAGCAGCGAATACTAAGTGCCGAAATCAACCATGATTCAATTATCACCGAGGTACACCTCCGGTAATCCGATAGGAAGAGTATGGTGGTTGTTTTTGTAATAGTATACATATTCCCCAAAAAGTTTTGATATAAAGATATACAAATATAAATCTGGGTTGTTCGGGCAGAGACAGTTTATAAATGAGAAGGCGTATTTTCAGTGTGAACTTATTGCCGCCAGAAATTTCGAGGTGCGGTCGAGCAAATATACCACTCGTCGACGAAATGCACCACTCGACGGACGGTGTTCTCTGACGTTCTCCGGTTCGGGTTACTACTGTCGTAGAAACGGGAAGAGTATGGTATACGCTGGTCCTTAAATTGTTTAGATTCGGTTTCTTAAATGAATCATACACTACTGATTTCACTCATTCTAATAAAAACGATAGTGTTATAGATTGTCTAACGCAATATATATACCTTAATATAGAAAGGCCCTAACAGTTTTGTTTCTTTATAGAGTAGATATAGAGCTATATAAAAACCAAAAATATTTAGTTGCAAATTTCTTCAAAACGTTGGCCATTTATACATACTGATATATATTTATTGATGTAGTAGCTATTTTTTAATTCTATTAGGTCTCTACCGACTTTTGTGCAAGGCTGAATTTCGAAAGAAAATCAGTTAGGGCTATTTTTTTACATTAAGGTAACGATATATGTACACATACAAACATATTATACTAGATGCTTGGGCTGGCACAATCAAAAGTCTCAAATAAGAAATTTAATTCGAATGGCTTTCTTTTCGTTTTAATAAGTTATATTTTATAGATTTAATACATATTTTAGTAATCTTGCATTTGATCATATCATCAACTAAAGCTTAACACAAGTACATACTTAGGCATAATTATCTAAGTGCTTATGCATATAAGTATGTATGCATGTGCATAAATTATGAATGAATATGTTTTGATCAGCATGCGTATACAACTTACTATACAATTAGGCTGACATAATCAGTATATTTAACATGTTGAAATTAAAATGATGTTTTTCTTCTAATTTGCAAGCAGTTAGCTTGCATTAAATATACAAAGCAAGGAGCTTTACCAAAGAAAAAATGGCAACGCTTTGATTACAATTATTAAATGTACTATACATATGAGTCATTTAAATCTACTTAAATACATATAAATACCAAATGCTAGAGTTATGATTGTAATTATAGATTCGCACGTTAATGAGTAAAGTATTCTCTGCCTCGGCCTTCCTCAACTAATTTTGCAAGCATATTTATATGTACATACATTAATTAAATTAATCGATACCTACTGTAATGCAAAACAGCCTTGGCTCAAAACCGCTAAAATGCGTCCCCCCTTGCATTTTTTGGAAATCGAATTTCACAAAAAAAAAACCAAAATAGCACTAAGGTGTGGGCGGATTAGGCAAGAAGAACTGCCTAGTAGTCATTTGTTTAGTTTAAATGTAGTAGAGACGCACAATTGATTTGGTAATAAGTGTATCGTTGTCATAGAAACTGGTTTGAATTGTGACATTACCATTTAAGACTTTTGCTGGCATCATCTGCGACTCCGGTGCCGCTTCGATTGTCGATTGCCAAGTGTTTGTAGTGTTTGCGCCAACCCAGCCCATTTCAAAAAACCATTCTTCCATTATGCGACCTTTAAAAAGTACTTTTTGGTCAAGGCGAAAGTTTTCCATTGGTTCAATTGTGCTGAAGTTAATTTCACGAGACACTGCCCGCAAATCCAATATTTTGATTGGCACACGCGCTTCATGCTCAACATCTGGTGACGAAAAGTCCTTGTTCTCCTGCCAAATAACCTTTCCCGAATCTGCATCGCGGAGGATCATATAGTTGATTTGAAAACCCTTTTGGATTTTTTCACCAGAAGCCATCTCGGTATCCTCTGAGCCCATGGTTTGTGTTTAAGAAGATCACTTTACAATTGAGTTATAAATAAATTAATATATTTTTTTCTTCGTTTTTCACTCACAACCAATGTAAAAACCCGATTGACATTTTGCTTTTTTCATTTCTGCAATAACTCTTCTTCAAGCAAATGAGTCGTTCACAATAATACATATGGCGTGATACAGGAATCAACACATAAAACAAATACAAAACGGAGAATACCAAAAGACTGCAATTATTACTACGTTTATGCGTAGGCCAATTCACGAAATCATTTAATCGATTTTGGTCAAAATTGGCTGCATAAATGCAATTTCATGAGTTCAATTATACACGAAAATTAACTATGAATTTTGGCATAATTTCATGAAATCGTGAAGTGCTTAGTAATGTTCCGATACCAGTACCTAGAAGTAAATACTCGAGTACCTCTACCAAGTACCGATTCATTTTTGTACTTCGATGCGTGTGTATAAAGGCCCGTCCACATAGAACTTTGGCGTTGCGTTGGCGTTGGCGTCGCTTCAACAGCTGACTATGAATACATGAATTCAAACGCAGCCGTCCACATAGCCAAAATTCGACAACGCTCACGCCAACACAAAGCAAAAAGATGGCCAACTCTCATCTTTTCGCGTGCGTCGCTCGTCAGCTGTTGCAAATAAATAAAATTATGTGAAATATTTTCCTTTTTAATCAAGTGCGGGCAAGAAATATCGTTTTTAATGCAATTATTGATATGAAATATTAATTTATCTGTCGTTAGTATGTTAATGTAGTGGCCCAAGCATTCGCTGCCAAGCGCTCATTGTAGCAAGCATACTTTTAACGTGCGTTCTGTCAAACCAACGCCAACGCCAAAGCCAACACGAAAGTTCTATGTGGACCGGCCTTAAGTACTTCATGGGTATCGAGTACAAAATGCAAGTATTTACTTGTTTGCTAAATTTGGGAAAATCGATTGAAAAAAGTTGTTTTTATTTTGAAAAAAAAAACCATTCAAGATGAGTCCCGCTCGATTTTGCGAGGGTTAAAACTAAATGAGCGAACGAAAGTGAAGAATAAAAGCCGTATCGAATTGGAGGAGGAAGTGGCGCCAGCCTATGATTTGCGGAAGCACCGTCCAGAATTCGTTTTGAAACAGAAGAATCAAATACAAGAAATTGATCAGCTTTCTCATTGCTTAACGTCTCCTGTTTCAGCATTTTCAAGTAACCCCATTTCAAAATACCCTGGAACTGCAGATCCATAGGTCGCTGGTTCTTATCCGGCTCGAAGGACCATGAATAACTCAGTAAGAGGAGACCAGTACGTTTGCATGTATGTATTTATATTAAAAAAAAGTTTTATTATATGGCAGTTGAGAAGTGCATGTGCAAAACTTTTATACATTTAATAGAGGAAATTTTTGCAAATGCAGCAGTACATAGCACGCATTTAGGCGCCTGGTGTTAGCAAACGCTATTATAAAGAAGGGAATCAAACGGCATTTTCAGCTTGTCATAAGCCTTTCATCGCTGTATCGATGGCTGAGTGGAAGATCGACCTATCTCGGCAGCCAGTTCGAAAACGCTCTATCTCAAAAAACTTTTCAAAAATGCCCTACTTCAGAATTTAATTGAAAAACACCCTATCTCGAAATTCGGGTCAAAAACGCCCTATCTCACTTCAAAATGTATTGAAAATATGCTGATATAGGGTGTTTTTGAACCGACAGCAGAGATAGGGCGTTTTTGAAACGAGTTCTGAAATATGGCGTTCTTGAAAAGTTTTTTGAGATAGAACGTTTTCGAACTGGCTGCCGAGATAGGTCGATCTTCCACTCAGCCATCGGTATGTTATATTGTATACGGCCTTTGAACTAAAATTTCTCGTCCAAGTACTTTCGAAAACAAGTAGAATCGAGTATTTCCTAGCGATACTTTGAGTAGCATCGAGTTTTTCTCTCCGATACTTTCAATGAGTAGAGGCATCGAGTACCAAAGAACGTCACATACCAGCACCATATCCCCTACTGCTAACGGCTTCACCGGCTTCCACCATTTAGTGCTGCGACACAAATCAGGAGGTATTCTGCCAGCCACGTTTTCCAAAACTGGTTGCTCTAAAGGACTCCTCCTCAGTGATGCCAGACATTCTCTGTTAAAAATCCCACGAAAATGGGGAAAAAATCCCTCAATTACCCACAGCTTAAAAATTTATCCCACAAAATTCCCAACGAATTTAAACATATACATGTTTCAGTAGTAAAGAAGTAAAATTCATTAAAATAATAATAATAATAATTGGCGCTTACACATATGTGCTTCTCCTCCAATTTGTGGCGTGCCCCTTGTTGTTGTCACACAAAGGGGAGGGACCTACAGTTTTACGCCGACTCCGAATGGCGAGTGTATTTTTATGAGATGCTGTTTTTCATGGCAGGAATACACTCGGAGGTTTGCCATTGCCTGCCGGAGGCCGACCGCTGTTAAGAAAAAACCCCTTTTTCTGCATTTTTTTCACTCATTCATTTTTTCACTTTCATTTTTTTGCTCACTTGTTAAGGGCCTAGAAGATCTATTTGGGACTTAAAAATTGAAGCACATTCATATGCTATTTAACATTTGATCAGATAATTTGTTCCGCTTTTTACATGAAACATTCTTTCTTACTCAGCGCTTGAATTGGTTAACGTAAGAAAATTTTCGAAATTGTCCTTATACTTTTTAACAATTATATACCATTTCATTCCACATCACATCTTCAGAAAGATTAATTACGTAAGAATGTCGAATATTCTTAAATTTAAATCAATTATGCAACAATAACTGCATCAAAAGAAAATCCCTTATTTATTTGAAATGCCCCTTTTTTCCCTTTTAATAATTTTTGTTGCAAAATATCCCTCAAATAGGGAAATTACCCACAATCTGGCATCACTGCTCCTCCTGAGGATGTGGTGTCTGCTCGGAGTTAGATGTATGTACCTAAGAGAAAGTGGTTAGGGGTTAGTGGTTCTTCATTGAGAGCGTCAAGCGGTATATCCGTTAGGGGTCCCGAATTCACGACGTTTTCTGCTTCACACATTACGCTATACAGTGTATGTTCCGGTAACTGCTCGTTAGTTAGTGCATGCAGCATCACGCGCTTTACGCTAAGCACTGAAGTTCTTTATACACAGTAAACAAGTATCAGCACTCAGATCTCTAGCTATCTACAGATGAACGGCGCGCGTGGTCCAGCATGCAAATAATGCGATCCACCTTTTCTCTGTTCGCGTGCCGGTCACAATCGTGAATGGCCCGATATAGTCTAGCCCCACATACGAGAACGGACGAACGAAGGACATGACAGACATCTTCTTCCTGCCTTTCGAACTTCTTCGCGAGTGTGAGGTATCCAGTATTTGCGGCGCAACTCAGCTATGATCGTGTTTTGATTCTGATGCTTCCATATGCATTACAATCGTTCGAATTCATTGCCCATACAATAGATAATTAAGTGACAGTTCACTCTGTTCCGTTACTTCCATTATAATCCAGGTGTCCCAGAACGCCACCTATTGAATGAATACCTTTACATTTGAAGCTTGATCTGGCTACCCTGTAAACTGATCGCTGTTTGCCTTTCTGCTTATTCGTCGTTTCCCTTTGTCCTGTATCGCGGCGAATTCATTCGCCCTCATTTATATTCTGTCCTTGTAAAATTTGTTTCATTCGTTGGCAAGCACCCGGAAAGGCACACAGCGGTGAGTAAAACAATTCAATTTATTAAATGTGTATTTACGTGCTAAGTTTAAATAACTTTATGTTTAGAAATAAACCACAGCTATCGCAAGTAAATCAAACGTGCGTTAAATTCGTTTTTATTGATCCGGGGCCAACGACAACTTTATTTCGCTTATTGCAGCAGCAGCGCCAATGCTGTTTCTTTGATTTGCCAGCGAAGCCCTACGCTACCGGTATTTTGCAACGGCCACTGCAGCGCCTCCGTTATTTGCGGTCGTAGCATTACTGTTCGTTTTTTCACATTCAACGCATTTGGGATTGTTAAATTTTTTTTGCCGCCAATCTTTGTTATATGTGCAACGTTTGCGATATCTCTAAAATTCGACTGCCACATACTTTCCTCCACTTGTGATACATAAATTTGTTTGCCGTCTTCACCTCCACGCATGGAACGGACACCGCCACGTAGAAGCGCCCGCCTCATGAATAACACCAGCATTAACAGCAACGCATTATTATCGCCAATATTGGAAGCGTCATTTAACACCGCAGTAAAAAATAGTTCTAACGTGCCCACCAGTGTCTCTAGTACAGCCGCCACAACCGACCAAATGCCTATCGACGATGGAGCCCCAGCCGTTCACACGGTCGCAGGCACCGACTCCGTGCCGGTGTCACGCTAAATCCCCGAAAATAGCTTCGACGACNGCAGGCACCGACTCCGTGCCGGTGTCACGCCAAATCCCCGAAAATAGCTCTGCTAGTCATAACTTCGACGACATCGAGAGACGCATAGCCATGCTGGAGCTCCACTTGAGGGACACCCAGGTACAGTTGCGGGAGCGTGAAGCCCAAAATGAAGTTCTTCGAGCAGCGTTATTGAGAAACGGTAGTTCTGCCGTTACTTACGCCAGCAGCGTAGTCGCAGCCAGCACCTACGCCGCAGCCAGCACCGCCAGCGCCGCCGCGGTCAACGCAAACGCAATTCGAAGCACCGCTAGCAAACGCACTGCCAACTAACGTACAGTCGGGTACCTCTACGCCCTTTATTGAAGCCCCATTTATGCCGCCGCCTACCTCGGTGAATTCGTACAGTTTTATACCACGGCCCGTTATTTGTAGCGCAATGTCTGGTAATTTGCGCAACGCTTCAGAGCTCCCCACGAACGACGTATTTTCATCGCAGTCATCGAGCGCTCCGATACCGACAACTCAGGCCAACGGGGCTCACGCAAACTTACAGTGCTCACCAAATAATTTTAACTTCCCTAAGAAATTGCTAGACTTGCCTGATTTTAGTGGTAGACCGGAAGACTGGCCCGTGTTTTATGCTGCGTTTATGGAGTCGACGGCGGCATATGGGTATAGTAATTTTGATAACAACCAGCGTCTTCAAAGGTGTTTGAAAGGCGATGCGCGTGAGACGGTGAAATCGTTGCTGATCCAC